GAGAAAAAGGAGGAGGATGACAGGAAGGCTGCTGCTATAACAGAAGCGGAGAACTTACCTGTTGAACCGGCTATTCGTGAGATCGCGAAGCAGGGAAGCTGAGAAGGCTGTGAAGCGGTTCAATCAGCATCGGCCTGCTGCTCGTCCGAACAACCGTACTCATCCTTAGCGATCGAACAACAACTCTGCTACGACTGCTCGACAGGATAAGGGTACCTCGGTTAAGTGTTCTCTCCCGATTAAAACTAACAAATCGGTTCTGGTGCTCAGGAACAACTCTAAGAAGGTCTCTCCTTCTAAGACCAACAACAAGAAGAAGTTTTCTGACGGATCTTCTGACGCAGCTAAGACCATGGGACGCTTTTTCACTAAGACCGCGAGCCGTAATCCAGGACGCCATCCTAATAGCAAGAAGTAGAAACTGAACACTCCAAAAATCGGAGAATCCGGCCACGGAAAAACTAAGCTGCGCTAGCTGCTGACATTCATCAATACGCGTTGATTCTTTTTGGTCGGCGAACGGAGTTTCAGCTGCGTAACCGTGTCAGCAACAAAGGGATCCATAACTACAGCAGTCATGTCTTCAATCCTAAAGAGCTAAGTCTACTCGGTCTAGGTCTCACATACATTCCAGTCCCGTGTCTCAGAAGTCGTTCTAGCATAGAGGTGGAGGTTGATGAGTTCATTCGTAGCATCAGGACAATGTATCTCTTTGACGGTGCTGAATTTTAGACAGAGTATCCTGGGTACAAGCTTCCTAAACGAGATAACTAGAATCCGCCAGAAGCTTCTCCTGAAGTCGAAACGGCACTTGCTGTCTTTAAACAACCGGCTCTAGAAAGCATCGGCAATCAACCCTTTACTACTCTTCACCGAAAAAAGAAGAACTACACACAGATCCTGAAACGTCTTGGACGAAATCCTAATCTCATCTTTAAGCCAGCTGATAAAAACCTCGGACTAATTGTGATGGACAGGGACTTCTATAAAGAACACTGCTTCAAGCATCTACTTAATCTATCTGTTTATCGGGAGTACTCATCCGTCCCAGTTTCTCGCATCGTCGATGAACTGGAGCAGATTCGTGCAGATTATAAACCTCTGCTCAGCTCCCGTATCTGGAACTCTTTTTTCAAAGCGCCTAAAGGAGGCTGGAAAGTCCCAGCGTTTCACATCATCCTGAAAGTGCACAAGAAGGTTCCTGCTGGACGACCCATTGCGGCGTCTCACTCTTGGGTGACTTCAAACGTCTCCCGCTGGTTGGATGCTGTTTTACGATCGCTTGTGCTTGCACAACCAACCTACATCAAAGACTCTCAGAGTTTTATTAAGCACCTGGAGGGGAGGAGGTTCCAGCCCAATCTTTTACTGGCCTCTTACGACGTGGAGTCACTTTACCCGTCTATTCCCCTATTGGATGGGATCGATGCTGTGGATTATTTCCTCCAAAAGGCTAAACATCCTCTGGCTCCACTGATCGTTTGCCTGCTGAAGTGGGTGATGTTTAATGGTTTCGTCACTTTTGATAACCGTTTCTTCCTTCAGATCCACGGTACTGCTATGGGCACTTCAGTCGCTGTTTGATTCGCGGTGCTTTTCATGAGTTACCTGGACAAGAAACTCCATGCTTCCATTCCAAAACCACCCTCTCTTCATCTCCGTTTCATTGACGACGGACTCTTACTGTGGGAAGGATCGAGAGACAGCTTTGACAGCTTTAAGTCCAAGTTTGACCATCTCCATCCATCCATTAAACTGACCTGGAACATTTCAGTTCATTCCATGGACTTTCTGGACGTTACTTTCTTTACGGGTAAACGTTTTCAAGAAAAAGGTATCCTGGATTGCAAGCTCTTCCAGAAGCCGATGAACCGGTATCTCTATTTACCGTTCAACTCCTACCATACCAGGAGCACTAAAGTGAGCTTCATTCGTAGCGAACTGAGAAGATTCCTTCTGCGATCCTCCTCGCGCGAAGATTTTTTCAACTCCCGCGCCTTATTTTTCGCAAGACTTCGTGTTCGCGGTTACCTTGAACGGTTTCTTCTCCCCATTTTCAAGAGTGTCAGTTTCTCTGAACGCTCTGAACTTCTACTACGCGCCGATTCTCTTCGCAACTCCTCAAGTCGCGGCCCCCTGGTGATGAAATGTCTGCTCAACCCGTTGGTTGATCGTTCGCGCCTGGGGTCCTTTTTGAGTCAACTCAAAACACACCTGGATACAATGTCACGCGATGTGTTTACAAGGAGGCGAGCTATTCTGGCATGGAAATTGCCAAAAAGGGTTGGAAGCTGTTTAGTTTCTGCTCGTAAGTGCTAGCGTAGTGTAATTCTGTTACTGTAGAATTTTTTGCTGAGACTTGGGTTTCCCTGCGAGCTCAATAGCGAGCGGGATCCTCTCGAGGGCATTATATAAGCCTCGAGGTCTCATTTGCTTTCTTGTGGTCTGACGAAGGCTTCTACGTCGAAACTAGTTACCACAGATTTTTTCACAAGAAGTTTTTTCTACAAACAAACACAGGTTTTTACAAGCCTGTTTCATTTTCTTAACAAACTGCTAACAGCTCCGAATCTGCAGCCACGCAATGTCTACCACCACCAATAAGTGGTGTTCCTTCAGTAGATGATCAGATCAGATGCCCTGGCTGTAGCAGCCCTGCTCAAACCCATCAATCCCCTCCTCTCCACCACTCACCAGACCCATCAATCCCCTCCTCTCCACCACTCACCAAACCCATCAATCCCCTCCTCTCCACCACTCACCAGACCCATCATCCGCTTTAGGAACGCAGTCAAACGCGGTCAACACGTCGTCCTTCTTGATCCACCGGCTGCTCACGCTGAGAGGCTGCACCGCGTTCACAAGCATACCCATGGCGGAGGGTGGCAGGAACAGGTGGGTGGGCTCGCCCGTGCGCTGATTCCTTCAACAAGTTCACGGGCGAGCCCACCCGCCTGTTGACAATCACCAGCGCTTGTGTGGGAGATTGCGCCCATGCTACACTCACCGGAGCCATCGTCAGCGATAGGCACGCAGTCCAAGGCAGTCAACACATCGTCCTTTTTAATCCACCTGCTGCTCTCGCTGAGAGGCTGCACCGCGTTCACGAGCACGCCCGTGGCGGAGGGCGGCAGGCGCAGGTGCGCGGCTGCCAGTTGTCGAGCGGCTGACATGCCACGCCCAGGCAGGAGAAGCCGTGTCTATTTTTGAGGTTCTGAGGCGCTAGAAAACCCTCTGTCTCACTCACCGGAACCATCATCGGCTATAGGCACGCAGTCGAATGCAGTCAACACATCGTCCTTCTTGATCCACCGGCTGCTCTCACTGAGAGGCTGCACCGCGTTCACCAGCACGCCTGTAGCAGTCGGCGGCAGGCGCAGGTGCGCGCGCAGCTGCCAGTTGTCAAGCGGCTGGCATGCCACGCCCAAGGAGGAGAAGCCGTGGAAGCGGCGGTGGTGCAGCGCTGCATCGTGCAGGAATCGGTGGATGATGGGCGTGGGTACTATGTAGCTGCGAGGGGGGGGAGGGGAGAGAGAGGCCATGGAGAGGCATGGAGGGGAGGCATGAGTGAGACTGGGCGGCGGTGCATGGGCACGATGTACATGTGAAAAGGGGGCTTACACCACCAGTGGCTGTTCGGATGGGGACTCTGTTGGGGGGCGAAGGGGGAAACGCAGGAGAGTGTACTGCACTCACCCAATGTTTTCAGCCCCAGTGAGGTTCTGAAACGCCACCCCCACCACCCCCACCTCATCGCCTTTTAAGGCACCTCAAAACTCACCCCATTTCTTTCACAATAAGGGGGGGGTTGCTGACACCCACTATGCTGTGCTCACCCGATGTTTTCAGCCCCAGTGAGGTTCTGGAAAGCCACCCCCACTACGCGGTACTCTACTCTCATCGCCACCGGTGTCGCCCTCGCCGCCGCCTCCTCTGCCGCCCGCTCCGCTTCTATCTCCGCCCAACCCCCTCCCACCCCCACCTCCTCCTCCCCCTCCTCCCCCTCCCACTCCTCCCGCCCATCTTCCCCCCCTAGCCCCAGCATCCCGTCCCCGCCCTCGTCCCCCCAGCCCAGCCCCTTTATGCTGGGTGAATCGCTCTCCTCCTCCAACCCTGATCGCCGCTGCATCCCCCCTGCCCTGCCAGCAGACTCTCCCTGCAGTTGAGAATCCATGCGGTGTGAATTCATCAAATCCCTTCCATTCCCACTGCCACCGCTTCTGCTTGTCTCTCTACCACCACCACCACTACTGCTGCTGCTGCTGCTGCCGTACGCGCCAGCAGCAGCATCAGCAGCAGCACTGCTGGTGGTGCTATCTCCTGCCGCGACGGGCACGTGGGTCATGATGAGGGCGGGTCCCCCACTGTTGCCAGGGTTGATTGCCGCATCAATCTGGATGGCCAGCAGGTGCGCCCCGCTGTGTGCGTACTTGGTGGGCTCCACGCGTGAGACGACTCCCATGCTGATGCTGATGTTGTCGCCGCCTGACAGGGTTGGTGGGTGGGAACCAGTGGGGATTAGGATGGGACGGGAGAGGTGAGTTGAGTGGGGTGTCGATCTGTAAGGCCAGCAGGTGCACCCCGCTGTGTGCGTACTTGGTGGCTCGACGCGTGAGACTACCCCCATGCTTATGCTGATGTTGTCTCCTCCTGGGGGGTTGGTGGGTGGGTGGGAAGGGGGAGGTGAGGGAAGGGAGCAGTGAGGTGAGCACAGTGGATATCTGGATGACCAGCAGGTGCGCTCCGCTGTGCGCGTACTTGGTGGGCTTGACCCGAGACACCACTCCCATGCTGATGCTGATGTTGTCTCCTCCTGGTAGGGTTGGGGGGGAGAGGGGTGTACGGCAAGTAGGTGCATGTCACGTAGCCGCATGGCATGCAGAGGAGGGCGTGGATGAATAGACGCATGAAGAGTTGGGATAAAGGGACTGCTCCGCTTTCATCCAACTATACCCTCTCCATCTCACCTTGAGGGTACCCCACCACAGCTACCGACTCCTGCAGCTGAGGCACATCCCCCAGAGGCAGCGGGTTCAGCCCCGCCCAGAACTCCTCATTCCCCCCCGCTCCCCCCACTCCTCTCCCCGCCTCCCCCCTCCCCCCCATCCCCATCCCCATATCCCCCCCCATCCCCATCCCCATATCCCCCCCCATCCCCTTCCCCCCGCCCATTCGGCTCCCCAGCCCGCCCCCGCCCCCCCTCCCCATCCCCCCGCCCCCGAAATCCCCCATGGCGCCCCCGCCCCGTCCCCCCGCTCCCCCGCCGCCCTTATCCTCCCCAAATCTGTCATGGTGGTGGTGGTCGTCGTGATCGTGCTCATGCTCGTGGTGCCCTCCCCTTCCCCCCATTCCTCCGCCCATGCCCCCTCCCCCCGCGCCTGGCTCCCCCACTGTCAGCAGCGCCAGGTCGCACTCGTGCGCCACTGCTTGCACCTGGTGGGGGGGAGAGGGGGAAGGGGAGGGGGGGGGAGAGTGCGGGGGCAGGAGGGGGTCAAAGGGAGAGGAGGGGGATGCACCAGGTCGCACTCATGCACCACTGCTAGCACCTGGTGTGGTGGGGGAGATGGAGGGGGTTGGGGAGGGTTGGGAGGATTTGGGGGCAGGGGGCGGGGTCAAAGGGTGGGGGAGAGGGAGCTCCAGGCGCGGGAGAATCTGGAGGGATGCGCCAGGTCGCACTCATGCACCACTGCTAGCACTTGGTGGGGGGAGGGGATGCTGAGGGTCAGGACAGGGGAACGTGAAGGGAGGGAAAAGGTGGCTGGGTCAGGTTGGGGAATGAAGACAGGGGTAGGTGGCTGGGTCAAGGAGGGAATAAAGGGAGGAAGAAAGGGGACTGATGCTCCCGCACCCCAACCCACCTCCGTCACACACGCTGTCCCCTGAGCAAGGTGCTTTTTGGGCGAGCCGTGTTTCCTCACAAGCACGAACGGCTCGTGGTGGTACCTCTCAACCGCAACCCACCCTTCTCAATTCCCCTCAGGGCCCCTCCCGCACACACACACACCCACACCGCCTACACACACCTGGGCGAGGTACTTTTAGCGCGAGCCGTGCTTCCTCACGAGCACGACTCCTGATGGGGGTACCCCTCAACCCCAACCCACCGTTCTCAATCCCCCTCAGGGCCCCTCCCGCACACACCTCCCACACACACACACCTCCTGCATGGTCTCACCTGCGCGAGGTACTTCTTGGGCGAGCCGTGCTTCCTCACGAGCACGAACGCCTGGTCGGCCACGATGTGCGCGCTGGTGAGGATCCGACGGCCCATAATCACGAACCCTGCTCGCCCGCACCACCGCAGACCCAGGGCGTGGGGGGGGGGGATAGGGGCGCTTTGTGGGGGAGGGAGGGGAGCGGGACAGGGCGAACACAGAGTTCACGATGTGCGCGCTCGTGAGGATCCGACGGCCCATAATCACGAACCCTGCTCGCCCACACCAACGCAAGGGGGCAGCGGGGGTGGGCGGGCGGAGGGAGAGTGAGACTGCGAGCCAGTGCCTTGCGGGCTTGCACACGGGAAGGGAGGGTGCAGACGGAAGTGGAAGGTTGCGTCAGAGAGCAGGAAACAGCGAGCGGCGGAGATACGGTGAGCGGGACACTTAGGGGTGTTTGCAAGAGTCTAATCAGATCCGGATTCACCTGAGCCGGTGACCTCGCGCTGCGGTTTGTTCTGCCAGGGCAGGCGGTAGTTGGGGCTGCTCCCCACGGCGTACACCTTCACCACCGAATCCAGCACCGCCTCCTGATCGTCCTCCGGTAAATGGTCGTCCTCCGCTGGTGCAGCCTCCGCGCCTTCCGCCTCCGCGCCTTCCCCCGCGCCCGCGCCCGCGCGGAGGTCGTCCCGCGGACCCGGCGGCATGAGCGCCTGCGCGGACGGGCCCTCCCGGCCCAAGCCCATGCCCGGACCCAGGTCGCTGAGCCCTGTGTCGCCTCTCTCCCCACCGTCCCGGTCCGTGCTCAGACCTCGCCTTAAGAGCCACGCCGAGAGGGAGTTAAAGCCCGGACCTGCGACAGCTATGGAGGACGCCGAGCCTGAAGCTCTGTCTCCGGGCCAAGAGGCTCGGGGAGGACGGGTGGCCGCGGAACGGTAGTGGGGAGATTGCGGTGGGAGGGGGGAAAAGGCTGGGTGAACCTGTGAACGGTCATGGATAGTGCTTCGTAGGCCATCGGGTATGGGGTTTGCGGGTGCAATCGGGTACGAGTTCGTGACAACGGCTCGGTGCTGTGTGGTTCTGTGGGGTATTGATGATGAGTTTGGTGGCGTGCTTTGGGTGTGCGGACGCGTTGATGCTTTCGAGCCGCCATTGGCTGAGGAGGAATAAGCGGCGGCTAATGCGGGGAGGTTGACAGTCCTGAGGACGGCCCATGACAGCTGGCAGGCGAAAGATGGCAGATGGGGACACGTCAGGTGGGATATGATTGGTGATGGATTAACCACCGCCATTGCTGGAAATTCATTCGAAAGGAATTACTCTCTTGTCCTTAACAAGCTTTGAACAGTCACACTATCGTATGCTACGAAGTCTCAAAATACGGGGACACGCCTAGGGCGCCAATCGGGTGGTTCCTACCAGATTGCATCTCGCAACCTCGGAATTGGAACAGTCGATGGTCAGTCTCGTCTGAAATTTATGTACAGCGGACAGCCTCCCTGGTCCAGAAAAATGCGGAGCCGGGAAGACCGGAAATCCATGGAGCGAGTTTTGCAGGCAATGCAGACCAATGCGGTGAGGTCAGTACAAGTCTCGGCTGATGCTACACCAGACTTTCTTCGAAATTCTCCTGTCCAAAGAATCCACCACGCAAAGTTGCGGTCTTGTTCGGTTTGTTACGCTTCAAAACGTATTACTCGCTAGAACCGTGATTGAAGTGCGGTTGCTCCTCTTGCTTAGAAGGAAAGGAGGTGGGCTCGTTACAAGGAATGGCGAGTTGACTGACAGCCAAGCCACGTCGATCAGAGCGTACAATGATTGGAGAGCCCGCGCGATATTATCATAGATGCAGCACACCCGCTCACGCAATCCAAGCAGAGGAAAACACGTGCCAAGTCAAACCTGGCTTGAGCTTATGTGGCAAGGAGGAAATCTGGGGCCAATGGAGCATCCTTGACTTCCTGTAAAAGCGGGTGCACTACAGTGCACTATATAGGTAGGTAGTTGAGGCTTGTGCTGTAGTAATGCTCCTGCTGAATCGAGTGTCTCTTTCGGTCTTGCATAAATCATCCAAGGTTAACTTACCAAATAAAGCTTCTCACCTCTAAGTGAACATGCTGGCTGAGTTGAGACCCACCCAGGTTTATTTCAAAAAGGAAGGCCCACAACAGCCAGTCATGGAACAAACTATATTTAATTAACTGGAGGAAGAAGTTATCCACTGCGCAAGTCGTTGCTTGCTTGCATATATTGTCAAGTCCTTCACCGTGGACAAGGAGACTACTAACCAAAAAGCAGAAGCTGCTCCAGTCGAATGCCAAGAGTGTTCGCCACCTGCACGCCCCATGCAAAACGCACCCAAAGCCCACGGACACGACCATTAGGCACAACACAACTCACATGAGCACCAGAGCAATGCATAAAAAGCAAACCGGAAAAAAAATCCCCTCCATCTCCTCCCTCCTCTCCCCCAGCCACTCCATAACCTCCCTGGATTCCTCCCTTAGCCACCTCCCTGAATCCCCTTCCATCTGCTCCTTCCCTCCTCTTAAATCGTCATACCTGCTTCACCAGTTCCTTTCTCGCACTGCACTTGAAGCGTGTTGTGCTAGCCAGCCTGTCTTCCCCTGACTGGCTCACCAGCCCACCGCGAACAAGAGTCGCAAGCTGAGTCAGCAAGCTGTCATCCACAGCAGGAGCTGACTCAGCAGCACCACCACTAGAAACCGAGGCGAGAGGAGAGGACCAGTGAGCTTTCACCAAGTGGTGAGCCATGAGCAGCCAGCGCGAAAGAGGGAAGGGAATGGGGCCGTGCTGCTGAGCCTCCCTGGCCTCTCTAGCCTGCTTGTCCAGGTCCCCTGCACTTGCCTTCCTCTTCCTCCTGGACCGAAACCCGCTTCCACCGGGCTGTGCGGAGTCCGAGAAGTTAAAAAGGGTTACATCTGACGGTGCTGGGTTGCGGGAGCAGGTAAATGCTGCGACAAGGGCGAATCTTGTCATGATGGGAAGATCTGGAACGTCCATTGGAGCTCCAGCAGTAGCAGCAACAGCAGGAGTATCCACGACTGACGAGCGTACGAGGGTTGAGACGGGCTGCTTGAGTGTGGTTCCTATGTGCTCCTGTGCTCTCATATACAGCAGGCGAGCACAGCTGGGGTGGTCGGGGGACACAGAGCCTGTGGCAATGGGAGCGGTGTAGAGCGGCCAGGAGTGGTCCACGAGCGAGGCGAGGTGCGGCAGGGAGCGGTAGGCACGGGTATACACTGGAACCACCTGCCTGCAGTGGGGAACGCAGGGTCGGGAAGGTTCATAAATGGCAACTGAGATTGAAAAAACTGGTGGACGGGAAAGGATATGTTACAGGAGGTTAACGGACAGGGCAGGGGGAGAAGGGGAGGGTCCAGGTGGAAGGTATGTGAGAGCAGATGGACGGGTGGGAACGAGTGTGGGTGGAGTACCTGAGGAAGGAGAGGAAGAGCGGCTGATTCGGCCTCATGCCCACGAGAACCGTTTCCAGTTCCTTGTCGCTGTACGGTGGGAAGAACACCGTCACTGGCTCACATGCCGCCACTGCCATAGCCGCTGCTGTTGCTGCCCCTCCTCCTCCTCCCCATCCGCCTCCCCATCCGCCTCCCCAGCCTCCGCCCCAGCTGCCCCCACCCCCCATCCCTGCAGCGCCAAGCCCACAAGTTGACGCCCAGTCCAGCTTGCTCACTAGGATTAGCCCTAAGTTGGACTGCCCCAACAGTTCGGGCAGGCGGAGGAACGTTTCCAGCAGCTGCGGGCCTTCCCCTGCAGGGAAGGCTTTGAGCTGCTCCAGGTTGTCTATAACGAGGTACACTGTAGCATCAATACAGGGCTTCACCAGGCAGGCTTGCGGTTCCTTATCGGCCGCTGCACGAGGGCTGCACTGCGGGCCCGTAGAAGCGGCCCCATTCTCACAGGCAGCCTGCCTCCTTCCGTCATCCGCCACTTTGGTGCCCTCTGCACCTGCGAATGCGGCAGCCAAGGAGCGCCTCGCACTTGGGTGGGTGGGGCCTCCTCCTCCTTCTCCTGGTCCTCCTAGACCCTTGTGCTTCTCTCTGCTGCCGGGCCTTTGCTCCTGCACCAGTACGTCCTGCAGCATCTGCTGCTCCATCTGCTCCTCCTCCTCCTGCTGCTTTACCAGCTGAATCCTTACCGCAACAGGACCCACCTCAATCACATCGTCATCCTCTTCGTACCCCTCGCCCCCCTCCTCATCCCCCTCCTTCTGCCCCTCTATCTCTTCTCCTCTCTCCTCCCCCTCCACCTCGAATCCCGCCTCCTGTCCTTCTTCCTCCTCACCGTCCTCACTCCTCACTTCCCCCTCCTCCATCTCATCCGCGGGTCCCACACCCCCAGCCTGCCCACCGCCGTTCATCACGAACCACAGCCCGCTCGCTCCCGCCCTCTCCCGCTCTCCGCTCGCATCATCCGCCTCTGCCTGCGTGTGCACCGTGGGCCGTTTCGCATGGCGGGGCGACGCTGGCGGCTGCTGCGCTGCCCTCTTGTTTCGCAGCGCTGCCTCCTCATGCTGCAACGCACACTCTCCTGCTGCCTCCTCGCGCCCTCCATAGCTCTGCTCTTTGCTGCGCCGACCCTCGTCACTGTCTGTTTCTTGGTGCGCTGCACCAGCCGTGGCAGCCACTGAGGAGGCAGCAATAGAGGAGGTAACAGCCGTAGAGTTGGCAGCAACAGGGGTCGCAGCTAGTCTGCTTCGGAGCATCCCTCGAGTGATCCTCCTCTCTTCGTCCCCTTCCCATGTGATCACGTCCTCCCCTCTCTTCTTCCCGTCTCCTCCCACACACACTTCACCATCTGCACCCTTACGTCTCTTCCTCCTCTCCTCTCGTTCCTGCTCCTCCTCTTTTCCCTCGCTCCCTTCCCTCTCACCTCTCTCCTCTTCCCCATTTTCATCGTTAAAACCTTCCGCTTCCGCATCTTCCCCTTCCCCTTCCGCCTCCCCTGACAAAACCCGCAGCAGTGCCTTCAGAAATACAGCACGGTTGGGAATGGTGGAGTGGAAGGAAGCGGGGATTGCAGGCAACACGCATGTCCGTTCTCGTGCCTGCTCTCCTTGTTGCTCCCCTTGCTGCTCCCCTTGCTGCTGCTGCTGCTGCTGCTGGGCCAGCTGGGTCAGAACCGCGTGGTAGACGGATTGCTGGGAGCCGCAGGCGGAGGTGAGGGGGAGGTAGACGTGGGGACGGCGCATCTGCGTAAGCGCCGCTCGGATCACGGCTGTTTTGCCCGTGCCTGATGGCCCACAGAGGAAGAGCGGCGGCATGCGATCGAACGGTCCTCCGACGTGTAGGAGAATGTCCTCGATCTGCCACGTGGCGGGCGAGATCCGTGGTGATAGTTGGAATGAGGGGGCGGGATGAGAGGGAGTTTAAAAGCAGGAAGTATCCTGGAAAAGTAAAAAGGACTGGGAAAGGTACGATGTGACAAGCGAAACTGAAAGATTGCAATTTGAAGACATGATAACAGATAAGATGATTTGGCCTACTGACCTGTCGCTTCCGGCAGGGGAATCTTGAGCGGAGCTCCTCCGCAACTTCCCTCACATCCATCTCGTCTCGCTGTCGTTAACGTGCGACACTAACTCTACAACATACGGGCGTTACCACCGCCGCTACTAACACTTTCCGCGAGGCAGTGCGAAGGCGCAATGTGGAACCTTGGCTTACAAACGACCTGCTGCTACATCGACGTGCTGAACTCGGTCGTCTCGAGTCACCAGCAATCAATCTGCCAAAGTGTAAGTATACATTAACAGCCCATGTCCACCAACAGGTAAAGAGCTGATGCGCCTACAATTGACGATCAACCTCGCTGTCTGCACCGCAACGTTCGAGCTGTGAAGTGTGTGCTAGGCTTATAAAGTACGGATAAACTCGAATGAATCCCTCATGCCGGCTCAGGTATGCAGTCAGGCTGGAATCGCCTTTAAATAGAAAGCGGCCATCCAAGACTACAGCCGCGCGAAGAGCGGTCCAATCGAGAACAAGAGAAACCAGCTGAGGGGTTGCGGTAGGAGAGAAGCCGAATAGAAGGAGAAAGAACCTGGTTTCTACAAACCTGGGAAGCAGAAATGCGGAAAGGTTGAAGTTGGAGGGAGAGGGTGGGAAGGGCGAAAGTCGAGACGCGCTTTGAGGTGAAATGAGAATCCGAATGCCTGAAAATGCATGCAACATTTGGCGGGAAGGATTGAACGGCTTCCTGAGTATCATTCATCATTGCAGCTAACCTCGTTTCGAGAAACATGGTAAGCGTCTGGTTACCCGAGTTATATGCTCGCGTTTCTCACTTTCGCCACCAACAGTCACGACGAGCGAGTGGTTTATCCAAACATTCACGCCCCTTGGTGTTGCCAGAGGCCAATTTTGTTGAACCCCGCATCAATCCCATCCATCCCATATGCCGTACTCCCACCCCACTCCACCGAATCTCACCATTTCAAATAAACTGCTGCTCGCCACACTTTCTGATCAGCATCAAGGCAGGCAGCATTGCTGAAAGATCCTACATCCTCACCAATTCCTTTCCTTTCGTTTCCCACAGTTTTTCCTCCGCATTGCGGCTGTAACTTAGTTTTTTTTACAATCGCGCAACACGCCATTGGTCCCTCGTCCACTTGTTGGTGGTGAAATCAGCACAGAAATCGCCTCTGACCAGGACAGTGCGCATAAGTTCAAGTAACCATCAGTTTTCTGCATAAGCAGTTTTTTTGTCAGAATGGCCGGGGGGAGGAGCGGCCACGGGGAAAATGCTCTGGCTGCGGCAGGTCGCCACGTGGCGGGAGTGGGGAAGCACGTGGAAGGCGCGTGCCGAGCCATGTGGGTGGAAGTGTCCAATCACGGGCAGAAGCGCGAGTACCAACTTGTGGGGGGCGGCGGCGGTTTGATTGAGGTTAGTGTTTTTATAAGGAGGAAAGGGGAACGGAGGGTATTGAGAGGGGATAGAGAGAGTGTGGGTTGGGGAGAAGGCTTGAGGGGTTAGTGAGGCTTAAGCCATGCAAGCGGTTTGCTTCCCTTCCCCTCTCCCCCTCCACTCCTCATCCTCCCCCCTCCTTTTCTTTAGGTAATCCCTACATGCATTGTCTTGAAAAAGCCCTGTCAGTCCCCCTCACCTGCTATTCCATGATGCACAGATTCACCCAACCTATTCTTCCTTTCACCCCATTGCATGCGACCTGGCATGGCATGCGGCATGTCATGGCATGGCACGGCATGGTGGTGGTGTACACACGGCATGACATGGCATGGCACGGCATGGCACGTCATGGCACTGCATGGCATTGCATTGCACTGCATTGCATGGCATGGTATGGCATATGCGGCATGGCAGGGGCAAATCGTACCAGACACGCGCTCCATCCCCGATCGCCTCATAGCCGCCTTCAAGGACAAGTTCTTCCCCATGGGTTATCCTGACAGGTAGGGCTATGCCATCCCGATAGGTAGAGCTATCCCGAGGAATACGGCTACCCCAACGAATAGGGCTATTCCGACAATTAAGTATCCAACACCCATATCACATGCTCCATCCCCGATCGCCTCATAGCAGCCTTCAAGGACAAGTTCTTCCCCATGGGTTACCCCAACCCCAATAGGTACACCACACCATTTTGATAGATGGGCCTATCTGGATAGGTGGGGCTATCCTGATAGGTATGGGTTAGGTATGTTATGTAAACCCAGCAAGTAGGGTAAGGCTATTAGGACAGAGGCGTTAACCCACCATCCCTCCATCCCGCTCTCCTCCCACTTCCCACTATTTCTCCTTTCTCCCCTCCCCCCTCTCTCCAGCGTGGCAGAGGGCTACATGCTGTTCTCGCAGTACAGGGGCATTCAGCACATTGCTGTGGCTGCTCTCAACGTGCTCTCCACTCAGGTGAGCGGCAGGTGCCTATCTCGAGTACTTTCACGTACATGGCTGCACACCACTCCCACGACGCCCTTAAACTGCTACTCCCACACTCCCACTCCCACAGTCCGACACGACATCCACACCGCATTCCACCGCCCCCATTCCACCCCAGCCCTCCTCCCACCACACACCAGTCCCTCTTCTTTGCAGCCGGGCTGCGTCCCACGCCAGCGCATGCCACAACCGTGAGCTGGGTGGTGAAGGACGGGATGCAGCGAAGCTCTGGGATCATTGTCGCACGGGACCCATGTGACCTCCCTTTCAATCCCCATACCCCCCTCCCTCCCTCCCACCACACATCAGTCCCTCTTATTCGCAGCCTGTCTCCGCCCCACGCCAGCGCAGGCCACCATAGTGAGCTGGGTGGTGAAGGACGGGATGCAGCGCTGCACTGGGAGCACAACCAAACCTCCCTCTCTCCCCTTTCTTTTCTCCCTCCCACACACCAGTCTCTCCTCTTTGCAGCAGGCCTGCGTCCCACGCCAGCACAGACCACCATATTGAGCTGGGTGGTGAAGGACGGCATGCAGCATGCCAGCACCTGAGAACCCTTATCTCCCCTTTGTCTCCGTACTCCCACGCCACTCCAGTCGCTGCTCTTTGCGGCAGGCCTGCGCCCCACGCCAGCACAGGCGACCATAGTGAGCTGGGTGGTGAAGGACGGCATGCAGCATGCCAGCAAGATCGCAGCCAGTCGTCTCGGGCGCAGCATGGACGCCGATCCCAAGCGCTGGCGCGTGGCCGCTGACGTCGTATGCGATGTGGGGGCGTTTCTGGAGTGCCTCTCCCCGCTCATGCCCCACCGCTTTTTGTTGCTCGCCGGGCTTGCCAACGCGGGGAAGGTGAGTGATAGAGGCCGTGTGTTGATGGATTCAATGCTCAATGGGATGCTCTCTTAGAGACGTCTCAAAACCAGTCATCTCGGGCGCAGCATGGATGCCAATCCCAAGCGCTGGCACGTGGCCGCTGACGTCGTGTGTGACGTCGGGGCGCGTTCCTTGAGTGCCTTTCCCCCTTGATGCCGCACCGTTTTCTGCTGCTCGCTGGCCTTGCCAACGCGGGAAAGGTGAGTGAGGGAGGCCATTTGTCGATGCATTCAATGCTCCTGTCATTCAATCTTTGAAAAGTCTCAAAACCAGTCGTCTCGGGCGCAGCATGGACGCCGATCCCAAGCGCTGGCGCGTGGCCGCTGACGTTGTCTGTGATGTGGGGGCGTTTCTTGAGTGCCTCTTTCCGCTCATGCCGCATCGCTTCCTGCTGCTCGCTGGGCTCGCCAATGCTGGCAAGGTGAGTGAGAGGCCGTGGGTTGGTGTGTCGTGTGTGACGTTGGGGCCTTCCTCGAGTGCCTCTCGCCTCTCATGCCCACCTCTTTTTGCTGCTCGCTGGCCTCGCCAACGCGGGGAAGGTGAGACTGGGGCCGCGTGCTGATACAGTCTTGAGGTGCTAAAGAAATCTTGAGGTGCCTCGATAAAATGTTAGCAAGATCCCAAGCGCTGGCACATTGCTGCTGACGTTGTGTGTGATGTGGGGGCCTTTCTTGAGTGCCTCTCCCCGCTCATGCCCCACCGCTATTTGTTGCTCGCTGGGCTCGCCAACGCAGGGAAGGTGAGCGTGAGGTCATGTGTTGATGCATTTGATGCGCTCTGAGATTCTATTTGTGTGCATTGTTGCTCCTGCCTCTCTCTCCCCCCTCATGGCGCACTGCTTCCCACCCACCCTGCCCACCACAGGGCCTGTCACTGGTGATAGCTCGTGCCACGCGTCTGTCGCTGTATGATGCGTTTGCAAAGGAGGGCAACATCAGCAGTCTGTACGCAAACGGCTTTAAGTGCACACCCCTCCTTCCCTCCACTCTCCCCACCACAGGGCCTCTCACTCGTAATCGCACGAGCGACCCGCTTGCCGCTGTATGATGCATTTGCAAAGGAGGGCAACATCAGCGACCTGTACGCCAAGGGCGAAGCCATCAGCGTCCTCTCCTCCCTCCTGCTCTCCCCACCCACCCACTTTCTTCGCCACAGGGCCTATCACTGGTGATAGCTCGTGCCACGCGTCTGCCGCTGTACGATGCATTTGCAAAGGAGGGCAACATCAGCGATCTGTATGCCAAGGGCGAGGCCATCAGCGTCCTCTCCTCCCTCGCTGGCCTGGCCCTCGGCCTCAAACTCGCCTCCTCTGTCTGCCAGACAGCACAAGCTAAGGTAACTATTTGTCGACTCAGCACAAGCTGAGGTTTTCTTTTTACCCAACTCATCTCCTCATCCCGCCATGCTCCACCAAGCCTGTCGACTCATCTCTCCGCTCACCTCTCCCCACGGTGCCACCCACCTGCACCTACAGCTGGCAGCAGTGCCGGTGCTGGCGGCGGTGCATCTGTGGTCGGTGACAGAGGAGATGAGGGCCGTGCCAATCAACACTCTCAACGCTCAGCGCACCAACGTTCTCATCAACCACTTCCTCTCCGTGAGTCGCCGAGTGCTTTTAGTCACCCTCGCTGAAGCTGACTTTTGAGTCGACTCAAAAGTCAACAAGCCGAGTGCTTTTAGTCACCCTCGCTGAAGCTGACTTTTGAGTCGACTCAAAAGTCAACAAGCCGAGTGCTTTTAGTCACCCTCGCTGAAGCTCATCAGAGCAGCAAGCTATCGAGCACAGCAGACATGCAGCAGCGTTTTATTTACCACATGCCTGGGAAATGTTTTCATGCGGTTTCTTACATGATCTCTTCCCACCAATGCCCCCGCTCCTCTCCTCTCCTCTCCCTGGTGTGTATCAGAGTGGCGAGCTACTGAGTCCAGTGGACATGCGGTGGAGGGAGAACATTGTGAAGCCCGACCTGCCGCTCACACTGCCTGCTGCCCACCGCCTCGCCCTCCAGCCTGCACCACATGTAGGCAATAAGACCAGCAGTGGTAGGAGCAGCAGCACTGCTAGCGCCACCACCACCACCAACACTGCCACCACCAGCACCAACAGCAGCAGCAGCAACAGCAAGAGCACGAGCAGCAGCAGCAGGTTGTGTGTGGGAGCTCCTCTTGCAGAAGCCCTGGGATCCCCAAGCGACTTGGCCAAGCTGAAAAAACTCTTCTCCAATGAGAAGTTTCTTCTCAGCTGCCCGGAACGGGACGCAGCGGGTGGTGTCCCTCGGAAGATGCATCTGATCCTCCACAAGACAGCGGACGGCCAGGATGCAATCAGAGCTTGGCTGCTAGCGTCCTGCATCAGCCAGGCAATCAGCAGAAAGGCACAGGTAGCTGGAAAGAGCAGCACAGGGGGTGCTGGATGGGGTTACTGGGAGGGGAGTGTGCGGGAGGCATATGGAGAGATGGAGCAGCTGCTGCCACACATGCTCAGGGGGTTGAAAGACAAGGGATGGCACACTCATTCGTTCCTGCAGGGCTCCACAGCTAGGAGGGCAGTGTGGTGATGATAACCGCTACATGCTTGTGTGTGTATGTGTATGATAATAGCGTGTTCCTATCCTCGCATCAAGACAATCTCATATCAGGCTTACACTGGATATTCCCCTAAACCCGAAACCCCTCGCTAGTTTTACCAGGTTTTAACAGCATTGTTGATATGAGGTACCCTGATGTGAGGCTGTAGGCACACGCCCCAACTTTCTTTCAAAGTTTAATGGAGTCACATGATGGAGCTATTTCAATCAAACAAACCCTAGGCAGGCAGGACAAGCAGCTCATTGTATGGTTAACACCTGTCAAGGGTGTGGACACAGAGGACAAGCCTAGTAACAAACTATTTACAATTCAAGCTGGAGCATCCAGCCAATAGCATGACATGATAACAAATGTACGACATGAACAAACGAATTTTAGGCCGTTTGAACTTCACAAGGTGCCAACACCAGTTCTCTTGGTTTCCGGCTCTAATTCCGGCTCTAGCTCAGGCGGTGGCGTGAATTCCGGCGAGTCTAGATCCGCCAGGTTCTTGAGATCGACCACGGATAGCATGTCCAGCTTGCGAACCACTAGATCCGCAGCACCCAACTCATACACTGGGTGCCTTCCTGCAACGGTGACAACCTGAGAGGAGAACACACAAGGATGTGTCAGTAACATAGTACAGAAGGAAACAGATGCGGAAGGAAATCGACAGAGTAAGGGTGCCCACCTTCATGTAAGCATCGTGAGCCGCCTCTATGGTGGAGTTGGAGCTACCAATGACGATGCAACGCTCGGGAATGAATTGCAGTCGCTGTGCCGCATACTGCAACAGAAAAGGTTGTGACACGAAAACATGAAAAATTGTCCAAAACGTTGTCAAGAGCGTTGCCCACCATGATCCGAGATTGACAACAAAGAACTACCAGCAACACTGGTTAACGAAGTTGCTAAGACCCACCTGGTACATCTCGGGATCCGGCTTTCCTCTCTGCACGTCATCCGCGGAAATGACAGCATCGAAGAAGCCCTCCATGCCCACAGCCTCAACCGCTCGCTCCAAGTATCTCGCCGGACGAGTCGACACAATTGCCACCGGGATCTTGCACCGCTTTAGGGTGTCCAGAAATTCTCTGGAGCCGGGGAGAAGCCTGTAGCAACCTCCCTGAAACTGCTCATACAGCTCTTCTTTTCTCTGCGACAATCTCCGTACAGTCATGAAGTCGCGCGACCAGCAAAGCACTTCGCGAATAACCTGCTCGTTTTTCATGCCTTCTGCCCGCTTAAGGATCCAAACGGGAGGCTGGGCGCGGCCTTCCTCTTCCGCAAGAGCTATCCACGCCTGTCGTTCAAAAACAGAATCGTCTTCAATCACCACCCCCTCCCACTCCAACAGCACGGCCAGCCATCCGCATCCCATGCGCTCCAGTCTCCTCAACGGGTTGTGCAGCGACAAATCATCAGCCCTGTCGCTAGGTACAAGAGTTCGCGAAGGAACCTGTGGCATCTGAGGAAAATTTTCCTTCAAGAAGCTCTGAGCCTCCCAAGGCTTGAAACGAGGCTCGAAAGTCGCTTCTTCCATGGCTTCCATGGCTGACTGTACAGGCACGTGCCTCCGTCGCTCCGCCTCGTTCCATGACGAGCTCAACCTGGCATTGCTTTTAGGGAGCCTAGCAGGAAATAGAGCTCTGCTGAACGACGCAGACTCGTTCGAGCGGACGTTGCAGCTGAAACTTATACCTGTTAAACTGCAAAGCTGCTGGGAAGTCACTGTCGCCATGCCGCACAAACGCAGCAATGACAAGTACAGAAACTAGAAGACGGAGCAGAACAAGAGTAAAGCAGTCCTTGTGCCAGATCGAGGCTGGAGAATTCAAAATGGAACGGAAAGAGTGAGTAGCGGACGTTGGACCTTCTGTTAAAGGCCAGCAGCATATGAGCAATGAGCCTACGGAGATGAAATCAGAGTATGTATGGTGGTGGTGAGGGAACGGATGCTCGGAGGTGGGGCAGAGGCCAAGCAAGCAAAAACCAAACCCTACCGAGCCTGAAGTTGCTTCGGGACCGACAGCCCCGCCCGAACTGAAATTGCCAGAAACGTCAGTTCAGCCGTGGTCAGTTCGCCAGCCAGCACTGCCCGAAGCAACAATAAAAATCCGGTTCGGACAAGTTCGAGCGCAACCCAACATTGCGGGCACCTGGCACGGTCTGAACCAAGGAAATGAAAAAGGCACATTTTGGGCATTTCCAACCAAAGATCCATTTTCATGGGGCAGATACAGGAAAAGCACCGCCTGTATCTGGTCATGTGGAACAGATTCCATTTGCGATGGAGTAGCAATGACCTGGACGGATGGTGGGATGAAGGGGCTGGAAGGAAGGGATACCTGCCCACCCAGGCTTCAGGGATTCTCGCGACACCATTCGTCAAAAACAGCGTGTTTCCCGCTAAGAGGTGGGAAACAAAACAAGACGGGCCTATTAGCCACGATTTCCACGTGACGCTTCGTGGAATCAAAGGGAGCCACGTCGCAGATCCTGCTGGGTGAAGTGCTTGTGCCACACGCAAGCAACCGCAATGACCATTCTATTGGGGCACTCGGGTTGCGAAATAACAATGTAGTTGTACAATCAGTGTTTCCAACATAATACATACATGGAATGGTTAGGAGCTCAGAAATGAGTAAGCACTGGAACTTTTGAACATCATACGGTAACAATGCATTTTGCACAACATTACCAAACTCCCATATTCATACAGATTCATGCATAATCTCACAACCAGACATCACCGTCTGCAGAGGGCAATGATTGCAACAAATCAACATCCAACGGAATCCCTTGCGACAACTGGAACAGCGCCAGTGAAAGTGCCATTGTTGCCCCAAAAGCAGCAGCCAGCTTCTTGGAGTCAGCTGGTTCCACCACCAGCTCATGCGACTCCTCGTTTGTTTTCTGGCTGAGCAGAGAGTTGAGAAGCCCTTGCTGCCGCTTGGCTGCCTCCTCATTGGATATCTTCACTTTGCGCATGGTTGGAGCTGCAATGCTGCCGAAAAGAAAGCCCGCTAGTGCTGCTCCAGCATGGGTGCTGTGGGGGGGAGATAGGGCCATGGGGAAAACTGAAATTAAGAGCTTGTACACAGAACAAGCAAGCAAGCATGTGTGAGAAGTTTGCCCCAAGCAGTGGGTGGGATGCAAAGGGGGAACACTAAGTGCTGGAGGTCACCACAGGTGCCATGTCGGCAGACATGCCAATACTATGAAGCGACAGGCACAACCATCTGTCTGAGTGGGGAACAACGACAGCATTGCATGTGCAGTGCTAACCTGTAAGACAAGCCCCCTCTAGCGAGCCCATCCTTTCCCTTCAGCTGAGTGGGAGCGACGGGCGTGGACTACTTTTCTTCCAAAAGAGAAACATGTTACACGGAGCCACGTGTCGTGTAGGCCTGTCGCTTTCCAACGCCTCCCTGACAGAAAGAGATGATACCAATTCCCTGATCATTCACGAGCAAGTCGGCCGGGAGTGGCACTCACGAGGGGTCGATGGGCAGGGGGTTGGCAAAGAGGGCAAAGAGCGCAGCGATGATGAGCGACTCGCGCACATTGCTGTCTGCTGTCTCCGTGCCGATCACCTCCCGGTTCTTTATCAGAAACGCCGCATACGCTGCTGCCACCCCGTACACTGGGCCCTGCAGGATGCATTGCCATGGGTGACGCAAACCGGAGTGATCGGGCATGGGGAGTGCGAGGGAGAAGTCTGTGCGAGTGTGGTGCTGTTCTGTAACCATGAAGCCATGGAGGTGAACAATGAGACGCCGCAGTACAAGAGGTGAGTTGCAGTGGCTAAGGAGACAGGAGGAGCAGGGGGAACGCCTAAGGGAGGGAGAAAAGAGAGGGAATGGGACCCTCACCGTGCCGCCAACGGTAACGTCAGGCGTCTGCAGAAACGAGGTGATGTTGCCTGCGAGGCCGGAGGAGAAGTAGACTGCGAGCAGGCCCAGGGGGCCGATGGCGAACTCCAGTACACTGCCCAGGCCCAGCAGGAAGAACGTGCCCACTGACAGGTGGATGATTCCCGCATGCTGTCAGTGGGTGGGGGGGGAGGGTGGAGCGGGGAAGTGACGTTCACAGTACAACGCACACTGCCGATGCCCAGCAGGAAGAACGTGCCCACTGACAGGTGGATGATGCCCGCGTGCTGTCAGCGGGTGGGAGAAGGGTGGAGCAGGGGAGGTGAGGTGTATGTGGGGGGGGGAGAAGTAAGGTAAGCTGGTGATGGATGGTGATGGTGATGGGTCCAGTCCAGACCAGAGTACAGCACACACACTGTGACACTGCCTATGGCAGGCAAGAAAAACGTGACCACCGAAAGATGGATGATGCTAGCATGCTGGGAACGGGGGTTTTGGGAAGTGGGAGGGAGGAGTGGGTGCGGGTAGAAGCTGGGTCAGGTAACGATAGAGGATAGAAAGAACTGGAAGCTGATTGTTCAGAATGGCAAGAGGAGAAAGCAGGACAATACGCCATCAGAAGCTGGAAGCAGGAAGGACGGGAAGGTGGCGGGCAGCGGGTGGGCACGTGGACGTACGAGGAGGGAGGGCGTGAGGAGGCGCCACCACTCGCCGGCCTCGATGAGTGGGTTGACCTTGGCAGCGAGCAGCGCTGGCAGCGACGTGGTGATCACTCCTGGCACCGCCTCGGGACTGGCGAGCTCAAACAGGAACACCGCAATGTTGATTGCCACTAGCGTGTAGCTGATGAAGGTGACAGGGCAAGGATGGGGGAGGGGCGGAAAAGGGGGGAAAGAGGACGAGAGTGAGGGAAGGCGGAAGGGTAGGAACAGGGCTGGCGAGCTCAAAGAGGAAAACCGCAATGTTGACCGCTACTAGTGTGTAGCTGATAGCGTTGAAAGAGGGAGGGAGGGGAGCTGAGGGAAAGGGGGAAAAGGGGGAGGTGAACGAGAGTGAGGGAAGGACCATTTGAGGGAAGGCAGAAGGTAGGAATGAGACCATACGCGAGTGTCACTCGTCAACACTCATTCGCCACTCACTCACTCACTAGAGCGAGTACCCAGCATAAGGCTCAATCCCTCGAATGACGCCCAACAGAGATGTACATGATTCCGCACACTCACTCACACGACCCTGTGCACTCCCTCCCGCACACGCCACGTCCCTCTCACTCACTCTCATGCCACTGTAATCTCGCTCACCAAACGACCCTCACACAGACACTCGCACCTCACGAGGCATACTCACGCGGCGGTGGGAGCAGAAACGGCAGCTTGGAGGAAATCCAGGCATCCAGCAGGCGGCGGGGCTCCATGACAGGAAGGTTCATCTTTGAGGCGCTTAGAGAACAATTGAAAACAACTCACACGGCGGTGGGAGCAGAAACGGCCGCTTTGGCGGAAATCCAGTCGTCCAGCAGGTTGCGCGGACCCATGATGGCCTCCAGAGTCAGGTCCGAAACCTTGGCTGATCGGCAAACACAGAGGTACAAGGCGGTGCAGAGCACAGGAGAGGAAATAACGCCTTAGGCAACGAGGAGGAAGGAATACAGGTGCGAGTGACGAACAGAGGCGTGAACAAATAATCAAATCATCCAAATCCCGACACACGCACAGCCCAATCGTACAGCAGACAGGTCAGTGCACTCGAGGCGAAAAAGACGGCTCTTTGCCATGTTCTATCCAGTCTGTTATTGTTTTTTTTTTTTCTTCACTCGTGTCTGTATTCCTTGTTTTGCCATCTGATGTTAATGAATCTGACACTAGGTGCAGTAACGCATAACGAGAGGCGCAGCATAATGACCAGGGAAGCATCACGAGCAGCGACTCACAGTCAAGCGCGCCACTGCCCTTCTTCTTCTCCACGTCCTCCACAATCCGCCTGATAAGCTCCTCCACCTCCTCCGCCTTCAGCTCCTTGCTTCCGCCGCTCTCCTCCGCCTTCCCCACCTTCTCCGCCTTCTCCATTTTCTCCGCCTCCGCCCCCTTGCTGCTGACGTCAGCCTGCGCTGTTGAAGACGCGGTGGCTGCGGATGCCTGAGAGGCGGCTGGTGCTGCGCTGGAATCGGCGTCCGCCTTTTTCTCTGCGGAATGAGGCGGGTGGTGGATGAGGTAGCGGAGGGATGCGTGATTGCGTTTTCTAAAAAGTCAATCAAAACGGCCCACGATGTCACTCAACAGTAACGCACGAAAGACTAGAAAGCGAAAGACGGTAAGTAGAGAAAGAAAGAGCGTACCTTTGCCAGCGTTGAGCTTGTCGAAGTACGAATTCAGTGAGCTCAGCGCTTGGAAGTCCTTGGTTACTATTTTCTTCTCCGCCGAACTGCTCGCATTAGCGGCGGCGGAAGGTGCTGTCGAAGTCGCGCTGGCGGCAGGCGATGCAGCAGGCTCTGCTGATGCTGATGCTGATGCTGCAGCAGCTGCAGGTGCAGCCACGGCTTCCGCGGCTTGTTGCTCTGGTGTTTGTTTCTCTGCGCTGTTGCTGCTGGAAGAACAATTCAGCTTTTCGAAGTACGCGTCGAGACTCTTCATACTGGAAGGAGGAGGCGGAGGAGATGGAGAAGCATCTGCTTTAGGAGAGCCTGATTGGTCAGAGTCAGTGCTCGGTAGTTGCTGGTCTTCGGAAGCTCTAATCCCGACGCCATTCTCCTTCTCCTCCGCTACAGTCGTTGTCGACTCAGAGCCTCCAGGCAGCGCACGAAGCCGGTACCGACGCTGCGAGTGCAAAAGAGTACTTTTAGCTCCTACGATTGTGACGTACCGACCTTGGGATTTGCTGGAGCCGAGATGCGCGAAGCGGGATGCGGATAGTGGCACACGAGACGGAGAAACGGCGGACGTTACGGAATTGGAACACGAATTTCGGAAACTTGAGTCACGCGGCGGAAAGAGGCGATGGCCATGTGCAGCTGCTGGTCTGGTAAGTGAAAGGACTGATGATGACATTTTCTTCTGGAAATCGTGGAAAAGGTTGTTCAGAGGGGAAAATGGAACAAAAACGCTCGTTAAAATTTGCGGAGATTTGCGGAATATTCTTACGCTACGAGCGTAACGCAGGATGAAGCACTTGCTCGATAGGAACCTAAATCTCAGGCTTGATCAGAGCACGACCTGAATGTGAAGCTGGAATGGCGTTCTGAAGTTCCCAAGGCTCCACCCCATAGAAAATGGTTGTGCTGCAGCAAACGTGGACTGCTGCAGTGATTGTAGCGAGGGGAGGTTGGGGAAGAGGAAGAACCCTGCGGCGCAGAATCTCCCCCAGATGCGCACAGCACATTTAACTTCATGACGGGACGAAAGCGAGGGCGACGGAGGCCGTCCTGTCATTGGATGCCTCCGCGCAGAGCACTTTACTGATCTTACACGTCAGCCTCGCGTGCGATGAGAGGCGCAATTCTGGCAGCACCTGACCACCTCGAAGCCGACGTGTCAGTAACCAGTAACCACTTCTAATGATGTGGCGAACAGAGGTTGCGGGGTTGAATGCTGGGATTGCGTGGCAATGTGGGCCTAAAGTTGAAGGAAAATACAGAGAACCCCGCTGGGAGCAAACCGCTTTAATGACAATCAGCTGAACCTATGGCATCTTTTGCAAGTCAAGATACATGATTGGAATCATATTACTACACAATGGCATTGAGTGAGGATTACAATCTAAAAGGGATTACAAAGAAAAAATCAGTATAAAAGTTATTCATATGCGCAGCTACTAAGCTGTAAATTTTTTGCGGCGTATCTCTTGTTTCTACGCTGTTACTGCGGAGATAACTACTACAACGGGAACTAGACTACGGGCTAGGCGCGGGTGCTCGAGTGATCTTTGCGTTCGTTGGTCCTTAGTCGTTTTCCTAGTGCACATACTGCTTGCTAGTTCACGGAGCAAGTTGGCAATAGTTTAACTAGAGAAAGTTGACAACAATGGTACAATGAAGTTGGCATGGCAAGACTACATCAGAGCTAGCATTCAGGTCGGTCGACTGCCAGCGCAGCATGGTCGACCGCGTTCCAGCACGACTTGGTCGACCGCGCTCCAGCAGTGCAAGGTCGACGGCGTGCCAACGTCGCAGGTTGACGGCGTGCCAGCATTGCTCCCGCAGATTAGTATCGCACCAGCTTCGAAGGTGCTCGCAGATGATTGGTGTGCGGAGCTTTGCCACCTGCACAGCGCAGACACCAAGTCAACCTGGTGCTGACGACTGCATCTGATCAGCCACGTCGACCTCGGGATACCACCACCGAGGTCGGACTCGCCAATTTTGCGTGGGCGACCGTCGCACTCCTCCGCATAACCTCGTCACCCATGTAACCTGGTCGACCGGGCAACCACGTCGACCAGCTGCTCCTGTATGTGTCCGTCGACCTCCAAAGTCGACGGCCACCCCAACTCGACCTCACCAGGTCGACCACGCCCCTGGTCGACCAGCTCCAGAACGACGTCACTTCTGGTCGACCAGCGTCACGTCGACCAGCACTCCTAGTCGACCAGCTCCTCGTCGACCAGCGCAGTTGTCAGCCGACCTCCCAAGCCGGCTACCCGAAGTCAGCGTCACCAAGTTGACGCCCTGCTACTCGACGCCCAGCTGCTCAGCGTCCTGAGTCGGTGTCGACGTCGGCCCCTCCTTCGTCGACCACCAGGTCAGGTCGACCACCAGCAAGTCGAACAGGAGGTCTGGTCGACCAACCACCAGGTCGACCAGCAGGTTCTGTCAGCCGACCACCCAAGTCGGCTGCCCCAAGTTGACGTCACCAAGTTGACGTCCTCCGTAGGTCGACTTCCCAAGTCGACCTCCCTGAAGTTGGCGCCCGTACAGTGGCTCCCGTGCAGGTCGACCTTCTCGTCAACCAGCTCGCCCACTACTGCAAGTCGGCTGTTCCCCTCACACCCGACCACGAAGTTGGCTCCGCCCAAGCGAGGACGGGGCCAATACACAACTCCCGTTGACACTCCCCTGCCGCGTTCACGCTTGGGCCCCCAGCCCACACGGCCGTACTCCTCGGAGAATAGCTCGTCGACGTGCACCCAATACACAGCACGTCTCCCACCGCACCAGCCATGCAAGAGGGCATGGCACCTACTGCTGCGCTTCATCAACTTCGTCGCCCACGTCGGCCAGGCGCACCTGGCCGATGGCAACAGAGCACCGGTTGAAGGACGGATAGTGCAGCGCCTTCGTCAGGAAGTCGGCCGGCTGCTTGGTGGTCGGGATGTACCTCAGTGAGAACTTCCCGCGCCTCACCATGTGCTTCAGCCAGGCCTGTCGCCGCTCCATGTGCTTGAGGTTGCCTGTCAACCCCATGCCCTCGGCGACTGTGATGGCCGACTTGTTGTCCACCCGAAGGACGGTCGGCTTCCCGGCATCCAGCTGCCGGAACTCTGCAAGGAGGAAACGAAGTCGGCGTCCCTCCTTGCCGGCTTCGGTGGCCGCCACGTACTCCGACTCGGTCGACGACAACGTCGCACACTTGATGCGTTGGCTCGACCAGGAGACTGCAGCCCCTTCGTAGACGAACACGTAGCCGCCCGTGCTCGTCCTGTTCTGCTTGTCACCGGCGTCGTCAGCGTCCACGTAGCCGACCAGCTCCAGTGACTCAGGTCCACCGCCGAACTCCAGGGCGGTGTCACGCGTGTTGGCGAGGTAGGCGAGGCAGCGGACGACCTCGCGCCAGTGCTGGTCGCTCCTCAACGTGAGGCCGCTCCCCAGCTTGCTGCAAGCGAAGGTGATGTCCAGCCTCATCGTCGTCGCCGCGAACTGCAGCGAGCCGACCTCCTGCCGGTACTCCTCCTCATGTCGCTCTTGTGCCTCCTCGCCGTCGAAGGTGAGCTCGCCGTAGGCGTCGACCGCGACCGGCGTCTTCGGGGTGCGCCCGGACTGCTCCTCGTTGATGAAGCGCCTAAGCAGCTTGTCGGCGTAGCCCTGCTGGTGCAGCCACAGCTTCCCCGCCGACCTGTCGCGGACGATCTCCAGTCCGATGTACTTCTGCACCGGGGAGATCTCACGCAGCTCGAAGGCGGACTCCAGCGGCTCCTTCAGCATCTCGATGCTACTGCTGGCGGCAAGCAGGTCGTCGACGTAGACCAGCACCCAGCAGGCCACTCTGCCCTTGCCGACCTTGAAGTACAGAGCCTCGTGGACCTGGCTCTTCTTCCACCCGGCGCCGACCAGCACGTTGTTGAGCGCCCAGTACCACAATAGCGGCGACTGCTTCAGCCCGTACAGGCTCTTCGGCAGCTTGCAGACACGGCCGGTTCCGTCGTTGAAGTAGTCCAGCTGGGACGTGTACAACACCCGGTCGAGCTTGCTCTGCAGGAAGGTGTTCTTCATCTCGAGCTGCATAAGGTTGAGGTTGAGGATGGCGACGATGCTGACGAAGATCCTCAGCGTGACGTAGCTGCCCACCGGCGCGAACGTCTCGTCGTAGTCGGCGCCGTACACCTGCGTGGAGCCCTTCACAACCAGCCTTGCCTTCTCACGCTCGACGGTGTTGTCGATGTGGTACCACGTCGTCAACACCCACCGGTTCTTCATGATGTTCACTCCCGGTGGGCGTTCGACCAGCTCCCAAGTACCCATGTTAATGAGGCTGCGAATCTCCTCCTCCATGGCGGCCTTCACCGCCGGGCCCTTCCAGCTTGCCAACGCCTCCTTCACCATCATCGTCGAGATGTCCCAACGGTGCTCGGGGTCGGCATGCATGTCGGGGTCAAGCTCCGGAAACTCCTCATCCTCCTCGGCGTCGTCATACGCCAGGTCGTCGTCGTCCACGTCGTACACCGTGGTGAAGGCAGCCGGGACAAAGAAGTCCGGCGGCCTCCGAACTCTGTCCGACTTCCGGGGTTCCGACCGAACCTCCACCACGTCACTCTTGGTGGACTCCCTGGCGTCACCAGTTTCACTGCCCTCGTCGTCCTGCTGCACCGCGGTCGGCTTCCTGGTCGACCCCTCCCCTGTGGTCGGCTTCCCTGCCGACTGCCCGGTTGCCGACTGCTCCGTGGTCGGCTGCTCTGCTGCCTGCTCCCCTGTCGGCTGCTGCTCCTTGACCTGTTCCTCCCCTATCAACGTCCTCTTCAATCCCACGTTGACTTGCCGCTCGTCACGTCGGCCACCGGCGATGCCCTTGGCCAGCGCCGAAGGTGACGTCCGACTACTCCCCTCATCGCCGGAGGCCGACACAGGAGTCAGCCCGTGCAGGTCGGCCACGAGGGGAGGGGCAGGGGTAGTAGGGGAAGGTGAAGGAGGACGGACGACCTCGACGTCCTCAGTAGCAAGCTCACCGACCTCAGCGAGCAGAGACAGCGTCGCCGACGAGGTGTCGGTTGGCGGGGTGGACGGCGTTCGGCCGGACACCAGCCCGTGCTCCGACTTCCACTAGGCTAACGACATCTCCTCGTATAACACCACGTCCGACGTGGTGACCACCCGGTTGGCGTCGATGTCGAGGAGCTCCCAGCCCTTGCTCTCCCCCGACACGCCAAGGTGAAGGCCCCACCTGGCCTTCGGCATCAGCTTCCCACCAGTGGCTTCTCGGGGACA